AAGTGTGTGTGAGAGAGAGAGAGAGAGAGAGAGAGAGAGAGAGAGAGAGAGAGAGAGAGATCTCCCTCCTAAGAAGAGTGCAGCTCCGGGCTCCAGGGTCAGCAGGGTGCGGGACCCAAGGGTCCCATGGGCTGGAATCTTCTCTTGCCTGTGCGGGGCTGAAAGCCCTGCTCTGTAACGGGGAACGTGACACAGGCGGGGCCTGTCCTGCTGAGCTGTTCCCTTCCAGGCCTAATACACTGACCCAACAGTGAGGCGGGCTCAGTCCCACCCTCAGTTCACGAGGCTTTGTTGCTTTCTGTTTGCCTGTTAGCACTAAGGAGGCTGTTTCTTACCCATGCACTTCCTGCAAATGAAAGTTACCCTTACACGATTCCTCGGCCGCTTAAACTTGGTCACGCTGAGGGAGGTGGGGGAGGCCTAGTGTTTGTCCCATCGGAAAGTGTGCCTACCATGTGCTTAACAGCATGTCCTCCCTCTGGGGTCACCGGGTCCCGCACCGTGCGGAACACTCTGGGCCCTGCTGGAGAGGATCCAGGAACGCTTCCCACGCCCAAGCCGACCATTAATTAGCCCAGGCTGTTTTGAGTCTGCAGCGGAGGAAACCCGTTTCCCGCCTGCTGCTGGGCCCTCGGCGAGTCCGGCCAGGCACGGCCAGGAAAGAACCCTTTGTTCCAGCGGTGGGAAGCCGGAGCTGGACCTGCTTATCTGCCCGCAGCGTTTCCGCCGCCGCAGAGGGCCCGGATCTGGCTGCGAAGGTCGCCCAGCGTTGGCCTTGGCAGCCTCCTTCCTCAGGGGAGGCTGGGGTTCCAGGCCCGGACCTGCTGCACGGGGGCTGCCAAGAGCCGGCATCCTGCCCCTCGGGGGTCGCACGCACCTTGCGCAGCGCGGCCTCGCCGCGTGGGGTGGAACTGGGCGCGGCTCGTCTGTGCGCCGCGCTGGGCCGGAGCTCCGCCGGCTCCCGAGGGCCTGGGCCGGCCGAAGCCGGAGCCGCAGAGCCGGCGTCCGCGGGCGCCGTCCGTCCCACG